TTTGCCCGAAGAGATTGAGAGAAATTCCGTCCGCAGCTCTCGGAAGACGGCTCTCTTCCCGACTCCAGAAGAATGTGTTTGTCTGTGACAATCACCTTGACTGCACCGCGGCCAACCTCCAATCTTATTCATCAGATTGGACTCCCTCCAAAACTTGGAGGGACTGTATTTCGTGTGAGAATCAAGAATTCAGCCCGTCCCTTCGACGTTTTGTCCTGCTGACGGTAGGCGGAGAGGAGAGTGGAGTTCCAATGCTCAGGGGGAGGGGGAAACCATGAACATTAATTTCTCGCTCCATCACCTTCCTGGTCATTCTCGAGTCATCAGAGAACCATGGGATGCTCGACAAGTGAGATATGTTTCAGGAATCGATTCCGGATCCAAAGACAACACTGAACGCGAGCTCTGCTCCTTGTCTTCTCAGACTTTCCCTGAAATCGATGATGTACATATATTTTCTATTCTTCGTGGAAGATCAATGTTGGTACCGAATAGCGTCTGATCCTGCGACGCTCTTGTCAGCCGATGCGGTTCGTTTCTGTCTGAGGTCAGAGGCAGAGAGATACAAAGCTTCCGTCTCTGGACCACAGAACTCTGCGAATATAGTCGATCAATCTTGATGGCATGGGAGTGGTCGCTCAGTCTTGACCCTGCACAGTTCCAGAGACTTGACGTGTCGTCCGAATGGCGGAGACACGGTCGGATCAGGCAAGTGCCTTCGGACGTCAACAGTGTCGCCGCGGTAGGAACGCCTATCATCAGCAATCACAGTCCGAGTCCGTTTCGTGTGAGTCACGGATGTTCCCTCTGAGTTCGTAAGGGTGTCTGAAGTCAATCAGTGTCCCTACCGGGGCGGTATTGTATACCGGCGAAGAAATAATTTCTTTTGTCATGCAGAATTCGCACGGAAATTTTTTCAATTTTTCCTTCAAAAAGCCACCCGTGAGCGGGCTTCTTCTCGAAGGCGCGGTCTTATTGTCCGCCTGCCGACGGGATTCCAGACGACAACGACACCATCAGACCAACCATGACGGTGATTTGGAAGACATATATTTGCCATCCTTTCATCTCTGCTGTTTTTTTCTGATAAATCTCGCTGCCAATCCAAAATCGGGCGGGGTACGGCCTCGCCGCAACCTTCAGAGGTCACGGTGGTACTTTGCCTATGTCCTGTCACCATACCCTAGATACTGTCGACGATCGTTCGTTGGATGAAGCAACAAATGACTTTTACGGTCGATACGAGACGATCAGTAGTCTTCGAATGATGTCGCTGAGCGTGCTCGCTCGCTGGCGTCAGAACCGGAAACGCGTTCCTTCCGGGAATTCTGGAATGTCCGATTGTCACTAGTGGGCGCTCTTTCCTCGATCATCGGATGACGGACTTAAATGGCCGCCTTGCTTTCCCCGTGAGAGCGATCGGCGCTCTCCATGAACCTGCTAATCTCTGTACCCAGCCTTGAACTGCGATCAAGCGATTCGAGGGAATCGTCAGCCGCTCGTTTTCCCCCTCACCAGCCCATACCCCGCGAATTTGTGCTCTCGCGAGATGTTTGGATGCACGGGGCAAGTACGCACGCAAAAGCGCGTGTCTCCTCCGAACAACCGAGTGAATGAGGACACACAGCAGTCGGAGGATTTCCACATCGGCTTGAATAGATTAACGAATCCGATTCCTAGCTCCAGAAACTTGAGAATCTGACCGTGTCGGCGTTCATCGGCTCTCCAATCATATGGAGATCGACTCGAGGGAGTGTGATACGGATTGCATTTCCGAGATATCCCACGGGATGACTAGGTGACTTCTTGCCGCTCGGCTTCCAATCCGTTCCACGATCGATTCTGCCACGGTCCGCGACTTCGGGGAGCTACTCATTTATCTTCGCAGGAATATGTCGAGTGTTTCTGGTTGACGAATTTGAGGCATTGCTGAAGGGTAGATTTCTGTCTTCTCGCAAATACAAAGGAATACACTTACCCACATATCCATATGTGGCAGCCTCGACTCGGACGCGAATTGACCGAGTCGAATGCTCGGAGCAGGTTGACTCTCATTCTCTCGTGATATTCATCGCATTTGCTGATACGACGCTAGATGTCGTACGTGTCTGAGCGGACATATATTCGCCATGGCAACCGAGGGCCTCCTCGTTCCTTGTTGATTTTCCAGAGGAATCTGCGGGGCGTTCTTGAGCGGGGCGAGAGATTGGGCTGCCGACTTTCCGGGAACTCCTGAATATACCTCGGGTGTTCCTTCGGTACGGGAACACTGGCCTGGTTGACAATTGCCCCTACAATTGCCCCAGGACTAGACTAGCCCACGGCATACCGATGTCTACTTTCTGAGTCGGGTGACTCCTCCAGCCTGAAGCGATGAAGGAGGTATGTATGTCTTATCCCTCTCGCGAGCTGGTTTGGAACTCTTGAAGGTACAATGAGCTGGGCCGTACTGTACCATCTCAGGCCAAGGAGATGAACTCGGAGCCGTGAATCTGTGCAATACTCTAACCAAGTACCTACTGAACCGCGCTCTGACGAATTCCGATGCTCAGTGCCTGATCAGGTGATCAGGTGTGGATTGAGGTGAAACCTCCGTCATCGATTTCAGACCGTTTTCCAGAGCCCTTCGCTAGGCGGTAAAGTCGCTGTCAGAATCCGTTTCTTTCCCAACTCGATGGGACGGTCCCGCCGATGCCTCTCGAGGGTGAAGCCCTTCAGTCCGATGAGGGGTATCATGAATGGCATGGAACGAGTAGGAAGTTCTCAGAGAGAAGACGAAATCCCTTCGCAAACCGAAATACTTTTCCTTTTTCGAGGCGAGTCCTTTCGAGACGAAAGCTCGTAAAGCTTCAACGAACATTTGGGATAACGAACTTCAAGGCTTAAATGGTTGAACGAGGCGTCCGTTGAGCTAGGCTCCTCTGTTTTAGTCAAATTGGAACGGGGGCTTTACTTCCTTTCCCGAGAGAACCTTACAGCTCACGGTTAGTCACGATTCTCACGGTGGGACGACATTAACAGAATGATTCCGACGGGTTGTCGATATTTTCTGAAATTGACATCATGAAGGCTTTCATGTTGCCGTTCGACACAGCCGGCATTAGCGTCCGTCCCTAAAGCGAGCGATTTACCGTGGCGGAGGCCCTGCTCCAGACTCGAGAGATTCCTGTTGACATCCCGCAGATTGACGGCGGAGCAAAAACGACTGACCCTGTCCCTATTGGGGAACAGGACTTGCGGATATGAGCGTAACGGGGTTCGAAGATTGACCGACGGGAGTGACCGACAGATGCGACCTACAGCATCATCGGAGGTTTCGGGGATGATGCGACGGGAAAAGAGTAAGAATATGTTTTTTTTTTCGAATGCACTGTCCGGGAAGCTCTCACGATGTATTCGGAGCCCTTAGAGCTTGCGCTGACTATGCTCTTGAGTTGGAGCCATGGGGGAATGGAGGCGAGGAACGTTTCGAAGAATTCTGGAAATCTCACTCAACATGCGTTCAAGGTCTGTGAGGTCGCCAGCTTTCCTTAAGTGATTGGTCGTGACGAGACTCGTGAAGCGTTCAATCTGATCGTTCGGCACGTGCAATGCCATCCACGGCCGCCTCGAGCTCTTAAGCCCATATACATCCAATGTCAATGATCTCCTCAGTCAGCTCGTCGTGCGATGAGCTCCTTACCCAGGAGGTCGGGTGAAAATGGTGCGGTTACGCTGCCGCTCTTTGGAGTCGCGTTGGCGAAATTTCCGAGATGAGTCAGTCGATGAATGATTCTCATTTCGGGAGCAATCGACGCCGTTATCCAAACGACCTTGCTCTGGGTCCTCGAAAAAATTTGGCAGTTCCACCAAAGGATGGACAATGAACCGGTAATGAGCAGGTCTTGTTTTTGTTGAGGCTATTAAGAGCCTGCTGGTCCAACACTTAGCGCATGGCAACGCCCTTAACGGAATCTCTCTCAGATTGACGCGGGCAACATCCAACAACCGTTACCGAAGGCAGAATCGATCTTATTGCGGGAATTTTCTGGACGAAGAACACATTTGCATTGTGTATGGTCCGATCCCGCGGTTGACCGCGCCAATATTCGACCGCAAGCCGATGCAGAGTATCGAATGCTCATGGGCGTTCGTCTGGCCTTTATTTAATTCAATTGTATCTACCGAGAATTGATAGCGCCTCGTATGACTGATCTTTCCGGTTCTGGGAAACCGGCTCCGACTGAATCGAAGAGACTTCAGGTCTTGAACAGACCTCCACAAGATGACCGGGATTTGAAAGATGCTCTATAATTACTCCAGCTCAATTCGATGCTCATTGGGTCGGCTCCTGCATCGAGGCAAGTCGCTCTGATGGAGTGTCGAAAGGGTGTTGTCCGAACAGGAGAGAGAGGAACACCTCTCCGGATGCGAGCCGGTGAGGCTCGGTGACGAGTCGATCGGGACCGAACTTCGAAATTTCCCTCGGGCTTCCCGAAGCCCAACCTCGAGCGTATGGCAACTCCGTCATCCTTCAAATCGAGCCTGAGTAACAGAGGGCGAGGTCTCCCATGGATTCCGTACTGCGTCAGATGAATCGAGCGGGAGAGTGAGAGCGGCGCAATCACGATTCCGGATACCTCGCATATGATTACCAGTCGGAATGAGAAAACGCTCTAATCCTTGGTGTGATGTTTGGGATCACTGAGTCGACCGGAGTCGTATAGAGCAAGTTCTTGTCGCACCGAGTATCACCTATACGGCGTTCTGCTATCGGACCCTTACGAGAAGACTTCCCCCTTGTTTGTGCGCCTGGACTGCCCCAGCCAATCTCAAGCAGAATGAGGTCAGAGTCAGTCAGAGAAGTCACTTTTCTCCTTCCGGTTGGCAACTGCGCAAGAGCTCAAGCCACACGGATTCGAGCCTGCGAGCTCTTTCCGGCGTGGGACTCCTGGGACTCATTCGAGGATAGAATCACTCCGAGAATCCTGAAATGAAGTCGCGAAGAAGCGCCCGAAAACCGACTCGTCCACTTCATCGTGATCCGTGTAGATGGCAACCATCATAGACTCCCGGCTTGTCTGTAGGACCAGAAGTCGATCGACCCCGTTTCTCTGCTGTGATCGAGGAACACGCGGAATCTCATTCTTCAGGCATCATCATATCGACAAGAATCCCAGATGTGGAAATTTTGATAGAGGGGAGAGTTTCTTTCCAGATTACACGAGACCTCAAGACGAGGAATCGCTCTCTGCGCGCTGGCATGTGCCGCTCATTCAGGCCCGTCTCATCGACAGCTTTTGATTCTGATTGCTCAGATAAGTCAGAGTTCCGCTCGGAGAAGCATATCGAAGGATCAAGCCGCATCTTCGCCGCCTCAAAAGTCAAGAGGCTCGACGTTCCTTCCACTTCCACGATTTTTCGAGCAAACCGCACCGAGCACGGATGTCTCGGAGCCGGACAGAATTTGTAGCCCCGGTTCCCGAGGGATTGATAGGCAATCACAGGCAACCATCTATGTACTTGCGAGTCATCCATTGAGTTCCATTGAGGGCTGAAGCTCAATCGATGTATCACTTTTCTGGAGGCAGCCGTGCGGAATTAGCCAAAGAGCAGACAGAAGCCTGACATTCAGTACATTGGACATTTATTCTTATACGGTACATTTATTGCACTTCAGGGATACATCGTCGTCGACAACAGAGATAATAATTGCGCTTATGACTAGGGGAACCGGGTACCTGCTCCAAAGGTTTGCTTTCAGGGTTTATACGATAAGGCTTGAACGAATCATTCTTTGAAATAGGTCCATGAAACGGGAAAGTCTTCCAGCGATGAGTCGGTTCCATACATCCGGAGAAACTCCCCTCAGGGATCAGTGTCTTCCATCGAAAATTCCCCGATGAGTGTATCCGAAGCTTCTTTGTAAACTTCAGCTGGTGAGAAGATACACTCTGCGTAGAGTTCTGCGCAAGTCTTCTCAAGGATAGAAGATTCGTCGTCAGGGGCATCCCGAGACGTCTGACGTTGGTAGACGGATCGGAGTACCCTAGCCCCGATTCCGAAAGCTTCTTCCTGCTCTCTGGCTTCACACAAGGCTCTCTTAAGACATGCGTCGGTCATATTCTCGGGTACAAGCGATACGATGTCATTGTAAACTTGTGGAATGTCCAGGAATGAGTCAAGATGATCGAAGAGCGTCGATCGTTCCATATTTCCATCGACACTTCTTTTATGAAGTCTCCCATGGGGTCCGAGGAAGATCGGGTAAACCAAACCGATGAAGCCCGTCGAAACGAGAGCCCACATGGTGACGTGAGACATGGTGAAACGAACCACCCCGTTCGCTTTGCCGGTGCCGGGTACAACGACGGTTAACATGGGTATCGAGATTGTGAAAGACGAATTGTATGTTCGATCGACCAGGATACTCTGCTTGATCTGCTCGTCCACGGTGGTGTCGATCAGGAGTTCCTTGGTGTTCTCTTCATCCAGCTCTCCGCCGTCTTGGTTTTCGTATCCATAGCCGTCTTCCTCACTTTGTGCGATGACACAAGCTGAAGTGCAGAGTAAAACAAGCATTAGCTTCATCCTGGCGTTTTGAAGGCACATGAAGTGAATGATTCCTCCGACGATGGTGCTTGCGAGGAATGTTAATCTCACAATGAAAAATCCAATAACCTCGGGGTCTTTTTCAATGCCTCGAGAGGTAGAGAGTTTCGCGCTCCAGTGAGAGAGAGCGTTCTCATTGGAATCGCGACCCCATCTGGAGGACTCGTGAGGCTCTTCATGGCGGATTCTAAATGATTTGATGTGGGGTCGAGAGCCGAGAAGCGATTCAGGCGTCAAGACTACGCAATTATCAGGTATTAGAATCTCAAATCGGAATTCATGATGTGCGTGGGTTAATGCCGGTCGACCGGAGGAATTCGTATTCGCGGAGCCATCTCCGAGTCGGGGGCCAGCTAGCTCGTGGCGTAGGTTGATGGTTTGGAAAGTCCACGATTTTGCTTCGAGTAGTCTATCGTCTGTGCGGAGGCTTTGAATCAATCATGTTCCGAGCTGCGAAGAGTATTTCACAAATGTTGGGATCCTGCTAGGATTTTCGGACAAACAGTAAGTCGGGCGAATTTCCCGCAGCGTCTGCGGCGAAGTAAGGGAATTTTCGTTTCCTCTAACGCGGTTGACCATGGGATCGCCCTTCAATGGGTATCATTCTCTCTTTTGATCAGAATAACGGACTGACTCGAGAGAACGGATGTACTCGCGGGTCTACGACAAAACGGCGCGACCAAAAACGGCGCCGGATTTCTGGCGCGCGGACCCCACGAGTGCTCGTGACGCTTTTCATCAACTTATGTATTATTATCATGTTACGAGTCCGCGACGCCCAATCGAGCGACTCTATCGGTCGGTGATGGAGCTGTTCCGAGCATCCTCTGCACTATTACAGTTGGAGAATTCGGGCGGATTCATTAGTGCCCTAAAATCCCTCGTATACCGAACCGTAATGGTGCGTGAAACGATTCCCGTATAGCGAACCCTCTGTATAGAGAACCTTTCTTATAAGAAACTTTCTGTACAAGGAACCTTCCATATGGGAAGCTCCACGTATGAATAAGTTGCCGTTTAAGGAACTCCTCGCATAGGAAACATATGAATGCTTCGCACGACCGATTACCCGACGAGCTCACCGTACTTACAGAATACTTTCTGCTTGACGAATTTCTCCGTTCGTGGAGCCCTTCTTATCATGAGCCTCGCGCTCATCAATTCTTCCGTACAGCGAGCCTTGCACGAGGGGGAACTTTTCCCACGTGCGACGGAGCCCTAGTCGTTGGACTTCGCATGTTATGGACTCCGTTGTGCGACTGTGTCATGTGTCGCTCTAAGCGCAAGCCCCTCAACTGAAGTCCTCTCTCGCAATGCTTCCAGTCGTGCGAGGGAGAACCTCCGCGCTATGCTGCTTCCGAATGGCATTGAAGATGAAGACCTCATGATCAGTGAGGCTAAATGTTAACTGATATGAACCTACACAAGATCCCGGCATCGCTTGCTATAATGAGATAGCTCTCGATACCGGGCCAAAATCACCGGACAGTGATAGCACTCTGACAGTGATGGGTCACCTATCAGCTTTTTATGAAATGGTCTTTCCAGGTAGACTCAATCGATGAGCGGTAACGAATCGTCCTTGCTGTCCTTCGCTTCTCCAAGTTCATTCTCCACAAGGCTAGTCAGACCGTATTCCTCGATTTCGGAAGTACGGACTTCTAACTCGCCGCCTCCGGGAAACTCCTCATCGAACTCATCGCCTGTGACGATGAAATTATTATAATCGGCGATACCAGCGCCGGAATCAAAGTCGTCGTACTCTGGACCACATGGGGGCACGGCATCTAGAGCCGATGCTTTTGAGAAGCCCTTCACAACGACTTCTGTTAGAGCTTCATCGAAGGCCCGTTTGACGATACCAGCGACGACATCGTAAGTTATTCGCTGCCGCCTTTCGTATAAGTTGCGGATGCCTCGTCGCTCATCCAGGCTTTCCATAGACGGCGAAAATTATCCTTGAATTTTTTGTTGACCGTCACATTCAGAGGCTGACAGTATTTCGTCAGACCCCCGGGGATCACAGCAATTCGCGAGTGATTCTTGAGCTCGATTTCAACTCTTCCGGTCAAGTGGCACCTGGCGGAATCCATTATGAGCAGCGAGTTCCGGGGATCGTCATTGTTCGCCGAACAAGTACTCCAAATTGCTTTCAACCATGATTGTTTCATTCATCCAAACTTTTTGGCAGACTTCAATCACAATTCCATTTTCGGCAGAAGCTTTTTGTTGAATACTAACCGCGAGAGCTACAGTGAAGTTTGTGTCCTCGCGACCCGTAGTATCTACCCTCACGTGGTCACCATCTCTGGGTGCGACGGTCCGTGTAGGGATGATGTCAAAGGGCACTGGTACCTCGTCAACGTTCCCGATGCGGCACGGCTGTAAGTCACTCGAGAATTCCCTCACGAAGCGTCTGAAGTTCTCGATCTTAAGTTCGAAACCGTCAGGTAATGGCTCACCGATCCTGCTAACCCGACGCACGCTCAACTGATTCCTCCTCATGAATTTTTGAACCCACTCGCAAGAGGCTTTGAACCTTGGTTTAGATTCGCCCTGATCGAGGTTGTTGGCGACTCGCCAAGTGGCGAGCTCCAAGGCTTTCCTTTGTATATCTACAACACGAAGAGCTCTTTTGCGAGCTCGCGTCGTCAGAATCCATGCTTTTAGATCCTTCTCGATGCCTCCGAGCAGCACGGCTCCTCTTCGGAATGCTCTCCGAGATTTCCGGCTTCGCTCGAGGTCTTTCTCAAATCATGGAACATAGTCTTGGATATCCCGAACTTGATGATCGTTGCGGTCATGCCATGCAAACGATCATAGGCGACCGCCTCCAATTTTTTATAAGCCGCGTATGAAATCCTCATTTCTCAGAGACGAGGCGATCCTTGTTTCCCAGTGGAAGCGATCTAGGAATTCGGAAGTCGGGAAGGTACCAAATTTCGAGGGATCAAGTCAAGAATACCACTCTCGCAAGCCTCAGGCATAGATGCCGGAGTTCGGTCAACGAGGCCACCGAAATCTACTCCGGCTCTTACCCGAATGGAGAAGAGTTTGCCACGGGATGCTCGCCGAAGATCCGCGAGCATCCGCGGAAGATACCCTCCCAAGTCCCGAGAATAGTCGGCTCCCGGATCCCGGATCAGGCCGATAAATAATTCGCAATTTCATTGCCCGCTTCACTGTTTCTATCTTCTCGATCTTGTTCTTCGCCGTCCTGACCTGATCCATGATCTAGATTCTACATAGTCCCCGCGGAAAACTAGTCCCGACATGCATGGAACAACTACACCGTACCTTCGAGTTATGACTGATAAGAACGTCCACTAGAACGTCCTCACCGTCCCCAGTTCCGGCTTGAATAAGCTAGCCAAAGGTCCGCTCCACGTTGCCGAGGAGCTTCAACTAGGTGGTGTTCGACTCAGATCGTGGATGAAACTTCAGCGTAACT